AATTTGACAGAGAGATCTTGAGGCTGATTGGGTATATTTAACGGACTGTTTGGTACTCGTACCCTATTGGTGCAGAATAGTGGTTTGTTAAATTGTGAAATCCACCCTTAATCTATTTAATTATACTGTCATACATGTAGGTAACTCTTGTTTCATATAGGCTAACTTATGCAGAACACAATCCTTTATAAGCTGTCGAATGTTACGTGGGAAGTACAAAGTCAACCTACTTGACGCCATTTTTTTTTTATTTCGAAGGATTCTGTTTTAGTGCGTTTTCTTGTTGCATTTAATCCAAATCAGCGACACGTCGTACAGCAATAAAAATAACCCGAAAACGTGGTCAAAATACAAACCGTTGTTTAATGAAAACAAAATTTGGCACAATAGGGTATTCATGGTCGCTGATCTGTTGTCAGATTGTCCGTAAACAAAGTAGCGAGATTTTCGTGACGTTCATCTGACTTGAGCAAAATACGATATTTATCAGTTTTTGAAGCAGCCGATTAAAAATCAGATGTTAAATTTTACAGACAAAATGTCAGACACAAAATGACAAAGCATTTTTTTAGGAATGTGTCATGATGGAAAATTTTCGACGTCATTGTTCATACGTTTCATGTTGTATCGCTTCCAAAGGAAATGTGGGACAAAATAGTATCATTATTATATATAAATGGTACATTACAAATTATATACTTTTACATTACATTACAAATTAAAAATTTTTTGATCATCATGCATCACCTAGGGGGAGACATTTAACTTCCAAGGAGCATGGTGATTTCTCAGTGTAGCAGAGGATAAAAGAATATTTTTCAAAAAGTACAAATAAAATTTCGCGACAATACTCTCGAGACCGGTAATCAAAGGTGTCTTTATATTACCACAATTAATTTTTAAACAATCAAAAATCTGAATTCAAGATAAAATCGATAACAACTTCAAACATATTTATTAATCGGTCCATCTGGCAACGTTGCGCCTTTCCATACCGTTAGACGCGGCAGCTCCCAACGAAGCTCCGCCACAGTACGAGCAGAACAACAAAACAGGCCGTTACGCGGGGCGCTGAGCCCAAATCGCAAAAGCAGACGCGTATTGGAAAGATGGTCTGTTATTCTTAGTAACACAAAAGTACGGCGAAACCCATGATTGTAAAATCTGGCTGATAGGTGCGCAGATTGACCGGAGTTCGGAGCTTATAAATATACTAACATCAAAAAAATTATATATATACTTCCCCTACATTTTCCCCACCTTCAACTTTTTACGCCTCAGAATGTTTTCAAAAATGATGGGGATCCTCTAAAGCGTCAGAAAACAAAGTTTGAGCGATTATTATCTATTTCGCCTAACCATTTTCTCCGCAGCCACTGGACCAATTTTCAAAAACTGCTTTATCCTTAGCGAAGTAGCAACCGTGTGTAAAAATTTCATCGAAATCCGAGTAGTACTTTCCAAGTTATAGAGGGGCTGAGGACTACCGGGCAGACCTACAGAGAGGTCGCCACACCGATAGGCAAACAACAAACAAATTTCAAAAAAGGATATTTCCGTTCCAAAGATTACTTGTCATGTTTTTGGGATATCTCTTAATTAAAAAAAATAGTATCTAATATTGTTCTGAAGTTGAGAATTCTGGAGTTATAAGCGTGCCATGCCTTTTTTTGGTTAATTAATAAAACACAATGATAAATGCTATCTAACGGTTGGTCCAAGCAAAACCGTTGTCTAGTGGCGTGCAAATTTAGGCCCTAGCTCAATAAAGCGGAGAGTAGGCGCGGGTTAAGTGCGCCAGTGACTTAGAAGGGATTAAGCCACAACTCCCGGAGATGTTAGTCGGAACTTGTTTTGCTTGACCATCACACAAACGGAGAACCTGACAGAGATGACGAAATTTAAGTAACACTACACACATAGAGAGAACCAAATAAACAAGATATCAAATGAATCACAATATATTGATTAAAAAGAACAAAACGCACATCTGCTCCACCACTGGAGTGCGAGAAAGGATATTACCAAGAAAAAAATTGTCGCAAAATAAAATTAGTTGGCGTTTACCATGGTATACGCTTTACATATATGTTATACGCCTAAACTACACTTATATGGGCGGAGGTCTTTTCTCAGTTACGGCTAGGCGCAGCCGAGATGTATCCCAGGTCAAAAAGAACAAAAAAAAGGAAGCCAGTAGTGGGCAGGTCACTGCTTGCCTCGGTCCCAAAAATTATGATGGTCGCGAGAAAAAAATGCCCTAGAGAGAGAAAGACTGTTTAAAGATCTACTCTCTGTCTGAGATAAAACTACTAATTAAAAACAATTATTGCACTTGAAGCGAAATGTACATTTTTTCGTATAAGAAAAGTAAAGCAAATGCAAAAAAAAGATAAAACTGTACTAAACTAATATACCCTTGTTCTAAAAAGTTACGACAGCTCTAAAATCAAAATCATGATCAATGTAATAGAAGGTGCCATGTAGGCATTGCCCCCATATATGAATACGCAGAATGTCTAATAAAATCAAGAAGTCTCTAAGAATTTCAATAAGCAATAATAAGTGTATATATGTAGATCTACGAAATTGTTAATTAGAATGATATTTTACCTGTTCACAACAGGGTTTTTCAACGGGATGGCTTCCAATTTGCAAAACTGCAACGATGCAACTGACTGGGGGAGAAAAGAGGAGGATTTTCTTCTGTCTCTATTGACAAAAAGAAAGCAGATATTGAATGAACGTCATCAGGACACGCATTAAGGCACGCGGTCCGAAGGTATATAAAAAAAGAACTTACCGCTGAAGGTCAAAATCCCATACAAAAATGGAAGACGTAGCACCCAAAACAGCTAAACTTGAGTTACGCAACAAAAAGAAAAGGGTGCTAGTCCAAGAATCGGTGCTTGGGGCCAAATATCCCAGAGTCTGGAAAACGACAAAAAGACCCCTGCACCACGACCTCAACGGAAGCTGAAAAGCGAATAACAGAATACGTAACGTTCTAGAGCAAGGAATCTTGAGTGGCCTTGAAGAAGATATGTTTTATAGGAAGCCAACTAACGGAGAAAAACTGCAGAGTTTTTTGCTGATCGTCAACACCATACTGAATCGCTGTCAATCAATAAACTATCTACTTGCCATAGATCAATAATTTTACCATAATACCATCTCTTTGAGTAGTACATCTTAACACCAAAATTTTTTTTAAATGTCTGTCCTTTTTTTACTGCCAACAACTCATTTGATGCAACCATATTTATTTTTCCGTTTCTCCACTCCACTAGCACATCCATTTTTTTCAATTAATGTGGGAACTATTAATCAAATAATCCATACAAATCACACCATGTAAGAAATAACCGGCACGCAATTTAAGGTTAAAAATGAGTAACTAAACATCACAAACAGGCGTATATCAGTATACGCCTTGCAAGTCTCGAAAAGGCTGTAGAAATTTTTTTGCACAAACAGGCGTTTATCATATACGCCTGTTTGAAGTGCGGCGATATATGCTTTTTACTTATACGCCAAAATTATTTTTCTATGCATCTTCTGGACTATTTATCGTGCATATACTCCACTTTGTGTGGTAATAGTATCCGTTTATGAGTGCATAAACGCCAATAAAACACATTTTGACATTTCTTATGATATACGCCCCTTTGTGAAAACAGGGACGGTATGTAACATTTTATGAGAAATTAACTGCAACCCAGTAATATTTATTTAAGTTTCAGTTTTGGTTTCGAAACACGTTGATGAACTTAGAACGTATTTTTTTGTTATTAAAAATATGTTACTGTGTACTTTGGTTCCCTTAATAAATAGAACTGCTGAAAATACTTGTTTTGCTTATAGTCATTTAAAGCCTCCCTGTAACAACGTTGTAAGTAACGTGATCATATAACCTTGTTACATGCGTTTTCCATAAAAATGGTTCCCTTAGCTGCAAAATAGGTGTCACACTTTTAAATTACAATAACCTTATATAACTATTGTTCCTTTAATGTGCTGGCCAACTATAGACGCAGTCATTTGAAAAAAATAATTCAAATTTGTTTTTCTTAATTTCTGCCACTGAGCTTTTTTGTTACATACAACGTTGTTCCGACCGACCCTTCACTTGACCGCCCCCATTTAAGATTTTGCGGGTGGTGTGACCCCCGCTTAGATTAGATTTTTTGCCAAACTTGTGTCCCCCTCGAAAACAAAATTGACGGGTCTGAGCGTTTTTCCAAAAAAAAACTGAGCTGCCAGTAAATGCGTCTGTTTCGTTTTCGATGCACCACCCTGTATATATATATATGCATATATTATAAAACCACCATTTTCAACAAAAAAAAACTCATAATTAATAAAACTACGCGTTAACGATGTCAAGATGCTACACTTAACATACAGTGTTTAAAATGGAATCCTGTGCAACTATAAAAAAACTTCACTTTTGACGAGTTTTCGACGGTTATACTTCCGTATTTAATAAAGTGTCCAGTGGGAAAAGTGAATCATAAAGGGATGTAGCTGACATAATTTTGTTTACACTGTCAAAACCCTTCCTAATAGCTCTCCGTAGACGCATTACGACCAGTTGCGAGCGAAGTGTCTCTGCCGTTAGATACTCCTACATAAACATGGAAATATGTGAGCATACTAACACATTGCAATTTGCATAAGTTAGATCCTTCAGAGCAAGGTTATGTACATATTCCTCTCAGCTAGTTCCAATTAAATTTGAACGAAATTAAAAATCCCACCGCGTCGCTTGACTCACTTTCATTAAAATATTCAGATGTCTGTGTGATCAAAATTATAAACTCGAGGAAGTCACTAGGTGAAGATGCTTATACGGGCAGAGATCAATATTCAAACAGCCAATCAATCAATTATTCTGTATAAGGGTAATAATCACATAGATTTCAGTAGAGGGGGGTTGCTTCGAAGAATTTTCATGGTATAAATAAAGAAGAATGTTATCAGTTCGTTACTCAATTCGGCCAGTAGCACAAAGCACAATGCACGCTCAATACTTCTTGGTTTGCTTTCTTCTCGTTGGCGCCTATGGAAAACCGTGGCAGCAAGGTAGGGAGCCGGATTGATAATAAAGTGATTTTAGTAATAATAGTACGTACGTCTCTTGTAGCATAAAACACGTACATAGCAAAGTGTACTTGGTTAGTTAATAGGTTTTCGGGCGTTAATTCCTACATTGTAGCCCGCTGACTTATTTTTAACTATTAATAACTATTAGTCACGGTAAGGCATGTGCTATTTAAAGCAGGGTGGAAACAAAGGCAGTTTTGCTTGGAAATAAATTGAACTCAGGGATAAATAAAATATTTATTGTATTATTATAATATCAGACGAAGGTAACAACAACCCACTCTTCGACGGTAACAGTGATGCAGCACCTGAAGGAGAACAGTCAGCCTTAGCGCCAAGTGGTCCAGTTGCTGAAGAAGAATTCGGTCCAGCGGAGGACGATTCGGATGGTGGCTTACCGGGGCTACCAGGAGGTGCTCAAGCTGATGCTGGTGCAGGTAAGATTAGTAACAGTTTAGTCCAATAATAATTGGAGGGTATCAAAATGGTACTTAGCTGGCTTTTGTTGTCATTTCATTAGCGTTGTATATAATAGAACTTTCCATCAACTAAGTATCATCCAATGAGTCAGATCTACCAAATCAGAAATCATCACTTCAATTCATCATACTGTATTTTGTGAAGCAATGGGACATAGTTCAATAAGTTCTTTATACATGCAGTTTTCTGTAATACCCGAGTTTTCCTTTGTGTTACTCTTACTTTGGTTACTTCTTCCTTAGTACGTCTTTTCGCAGATCCAGTTGCCTACTGATTGTACGTAGCGACTCACAATACAAAAGCTATAAGAGGAACATATATGGGTTGCTCATAAAATTTATACACATTCCTATATTAAGTTGAATATTACATTAACTTCTTAATCCTCCAGAAATCATGCCGCCAAATACCTGATCAGGATCGTAGTTGGTATGAGGTCAGTGCTTATACTTAAAATTGTCTATTATGACCTTGTGGTTTGAATTAACCGCTTTATATCATTCAGAAAACTGTTCAGCTGAGTAACATGTTTCTTGGGTACCGTTGAAATTATCAATAATGGAACATTATTTTTAACTGGACCACTATTAGGATTTTTCTAAGGTAAGACTGTGTAAGTGGTATATATCACTTGCAATTATCTATGCCCTGCACACTTGATTGCTATTAGGAAGAACTATGCGAAATCATGGACTAATGAATAATTCAACTGAATATATTACTGAGTCTTAGAGTTTTGGATATAAAATCAAATCCGCTTTCTCTTTTTGCAATGCTCATACAACTGTCAAATCAGTATTTCCAGTTTGTCAGTTTATCCAGTCTAGCTTAAGAAAGAATTGGTTCTTGTCAAGTACCTTTTCAATATTAAGATTTTAATGTTCGGTAAGATTCTTGGAACAATACCTTTCCATCTTCCCTCTTGATAGTAGGCAGCCGTACTTTCATTCAAACCGGAATAATCAAAGCTGAGACATACTTACCATTTTTTCTGTCCCTCTCTTGTTCTTGAATAGGAATGCACATTATCTATCTGTATGCTCTTAGTCTCTGAATAACTATGTTAAAGATCTGAACATCCCCCACTGCTTCTTGCTCAATCTCAATATCTTCTATGGTATCACCGAAGCTCCTGTCGGTTCTTAGACTAATAATCTATTTCCCATCTCTTTCTGATGCTACCGTGGATAATTAACGAAAACCTCTAGTCTGCACAATTGCACAATGTTTTACATAGATCTCATATTTCTCTTCTCCCTGGTTTTTCGTATGTCTCGTAACTTGTATCACTAACATGGATCCTTGCTTAGACCTCAATTACGCACTACAGACAGGCAACTTTTTATCTTTTTATCCAAGAATATATAATATTCTACCGAAAGGCTGTGCACTAATTCATTTCGTTCCTAGGTGGCGCATCATACAACGTCTTCTTCCCTATCCAGATTAGGTCCAGCGGTTCTCGTCGGCGAGGCGCAGACGATGATGGTGCCGATTCAGGATCTTACAACGCGATTGCCAACTCTTTTGCTACTGGTCGTAAAGGAATTGCTACTAGCCATGCAACTGCTTTAGGAGGTGCTTCAGATCCAGCCAGGTTCCACAATTTACAACAAAAGCCTGACCAGCAAGCAGAAGCTAGGAAGTAGAGGATTTTATTCTAATTACGTCGATAGTAGTCATCGTAGAATGATATGAATTTATTTACTATGTAGATGTTTTAATATATTATGTATTGTTTTATTTTAGAACTTGTTTTCGCTTTTACCTTCCCAAACAGCTATTCTATGGACATTTCATTATTTTGTACTGAAGAGAAAGTGATCAGTCGCAATCACAGTAGGTCCAATTGAACCCTTTGTACATCATCTGAACATTTTATGATGCAAACCGAGCAGTAGATGAGTTCTACAAAAAATTCTATAGAATCTTGGATAATCATGTACCCTTATTCAGAAACATTACAAGAAGGTTTCCCAAATGGTAGTGCGCAACCATTATCAAAAACATAACAGACAAAGCTAGAGACTATCGTAAGTGGAAGTAGGGTAGACCTCCACAATACGCCTCGCTTTTTTTTTAAAGTTCAGTAAATCCTATCTGTTAGAGTTATTACTGGAGTATTACAGAATAAATAAAGGAGCGGTGATCTATACTAAGTGACATATAAATCCGAACACCCAGTTTAAATGATTTTATTTTAATAAAATTTTGTATAAGTACTTAATGAAGCATAATAAGTAAATGATTGCACTGCTTTAAAGCCCTTTGACCTTTAATAATGTGTGGATGCACCCTGATGTGCTACGCATTCTCCAACGCGCCTAGGCATGCTTCTGATCAGGTGGTCAATGTTCTCCTGTGGTATCTCATTCCAGGCAACCACCAACTCCTCTCGAAGTGCTTCTACAGTCTGAGGGGGACGTTGCAAATTGAGCAATCTCCTACCCATCATATCCCACACGTGCTCAATTGGGGATAATTCGGGAGATCTTGGTGGCCATGGTAACAATGTGACATCATTATGTTGAAAGAAGTCTATTGTGACTGTTGCAACATGTGGTCGGGCATTATCTTGTTGGAAAGTTGGATCTGCCAGGGTGTCAAGATAGGGTAAAAGATGGGGTTCTAGAACTCCGTGGATATAACGCTGCGCGTTCATGTTACCTCTGATGGAGATTAAAGGTGACCTGGAACCATAAGCTATAGCACCCCAAACCATAACTCCAACAGTGTGATGAACATGTCTTTCAACAAAAAACTGTGGATTCCTCCTTTCACCACGTCGCCTTCTAACCCTGGCACGACCATCGTGCAGGCCTAAACAAAATCTAGACTCGTCACTTAAGACAATACTGTTCCATTCCTGATCCCAGAGTGACCGTTGTCTGCACCACTCAAGGCGATTACGTCGGTGTTCTCGAGTTTAAGGGAGGATCCAGTGTGGCCGGTATGAAAACAAGCCAAAACTTCTTATTCGTCGGTAAACACTTCGCATGCCAATAGGTCTTCCGTGTTCTGCAAAACATTCATTTGCAATGGACCTGGAAGTGGAGAAACGGTCCCTTAAGGCCAATAATCTTACGCGGCGATCTTCACGGTCTGTTGTTCTACGGCGGCGTCCAGTGCCCCTTGCTCTTTGCGTACGGCCTTCTCGAAGCCATGCGTGACAATACCTAACCACAGTGTCTACACTTCTTTGCACTCTAACTGCAATTGCCCGAAACGAAAGTCCAGCTTCCCGAAGTCCCACTATACGGCCCCTATCAAACTAGCTAAGTTGACGAAATCGTACAGGTCTCCGTACTCTAGGCATCGTAACCGATCGTAAAGGACGTCAAGAACCAAAATCCGCCAACGTTGATTCTTTACTGCGGCTGAAATATTCATTTTTAGAGCGTTAGTGAATTAAAAAAGGCAGTATAAAAACCGGAATGTCCAACTGATAAGGCTGAAATTTTTTTCACTTGTTATTTACAGTAAGATAAATACATTCACCAACTTTTATTAAAATAAAACCATTTAAACTGGGTGTTCGGATTTATATGTCACTTAGTATAATAATCTTATGGCACTTATGTTTGCCATCAAATACTTTACGATGAAGCACAGTGTAATTTTTTTTAAATTTTAGGTGCGGAGTTTTGTATTGTCATCCTTTGACAAAATTCCTCAGTTGTGTTACAAAATGCCCCGGAATAATAAAATGAAAGAAACCTGTAACCATAAAATAAGCAAAAACCTAAAAAAAATATTTTACATGAAATGGAAAGAGTCATCATACCTCTCTCCCTCTCATAAAAGAAACAAGACTTAAAAGAAACAAGACTTAAAAAAAACATCATAAGTACTATTCTCGTCCTATGAGATACCTATTCAGTTGAAATAAACTTTATCACATAAAATTAATATTATCTCTCTCATGGTTGACTCTTGTTTTTATTTCTAATAGCTTCCCTCTTAGCTTTTCTTTCAAAGTTATTACAAAGCGGTTTGTACACCGTACAGAACTCGTGCATCCAAAAAGAGCAAGATAAGCACTTTATCCAATCTTCTTTAGAAGTCGTCTTATAATAATTTCCCGTACATTCCTTACACCTGTTTTCATCTTCCTCGGATATTTCTTCATCTGAACTATGTCGGCTTTCTTCCTCGTCTCTTTCACTCTCTGATGTCTCATATATTGGTTTCTTTTTCTTTGGTTTGGCACTTTCTTTGTTCTTTATTTTAATTGGACTGTTTAAAGCTTTTTTTCCACGTACCTTGGCTTTTTCAGAAGTTCCCGCAGGATTTTTTTTCTCTTCAATAATTTTAAGTTTTTGTACATTTTCAGCTGACATCAAAATAACAGGTTTCTGTTTTCTCTTTAAAGTCATTTCAGGTGGCTTCGGTACAGGGTGTACTTTAGCCAAAATCTTCGTAGGCGTTTCTTTTTCTTCAAAAAATTCGCAGAGTATATCCTGCCAGAACTTCTCGTAAAGTATCTGAAGATAGTACTTCTGAAGGATTGATATCTTCTTGCTCCAAAGGATTTTGATCCCTCTGCACTGGAAATGACATGACTTTATCTTCCTCATTAGATTCATTTCCAACTAAATCTTGGTCTTTTAGAGAATCAGATAAAGAAAGGTAGTGTTCTGGAATAGCATTTGGGTCGTAGGGGTAAATTCCACACGAACTCTAAGCAAAAACGCCGTATGCGATGCTTGCAGGTCTCCCCCAAGCTTTGCCTATCAACTTAGATACATCGTACCGAGTAAGTTTCTTGTCCTAGTTCATCACCATCTATGATCCAAAGGCTGCATAACATGTGTGTTGTGACTAGGAAGGCATAATAAAGTCACATCATTTACAAAACCTTATGTAATTACTATGAGAACTGTGCCCATTCATATTCAACAGGGCTTTACCAGTGCCTTCAGCCGGCAGGAATATTTCTTCAAAACATTTAATGAAAAGATCGGTGTTTATATAGAAAGATTTCTTGTCCACAAATACTGGCGGTAAACCTTCTGCAAATTGAGACTTGTAAATTAAAACGGCTGGAAGAAAATTCCCCTGAGCACTGCAGCATGCTATTACCGTGACATTCTCTACTTTTTCACTGCTTGTCAGGGTGTACACATCCTTCGAGCCTTTGGATGCAATTACCTTTCCTGGTTTTGTACCAGTAAAGTGAAAAAATCATGAACATCCGTTCGATTCACCCCATATGCCCTGGCGAGTGATAAGCCCTCAGACTTTCTCTGACTAAGCTCAGGATTTCTTTCTAAAAACTCAGCGAATCATACGTCACCAGCTTTTCCAAATGCTTGCGAGAAAGTAGATTTCTTGTCAAGCTTTAAAGCTAACTGATAAGCCATTTCTTTCACGTCTTTGCGATCGGGGGGAAAACAAACTTTTTCTAATTTCTGGATGTGCACTACCAACTTCTTCTCTTCCTCTGCAGTAAAAATAGGTTGTCTTCCAAGTGGGAATGTTGTACACTCGTGCCGCTTCATTTACTCCCATTTGCTTCAGTCGCACTTTTTGCGAAGCCTAAGATCGGTTTCGGACCAGGTCGCCCGTAATGTTTTTCTGACATAATTTCGCGGCACTTCTAAGAAAACAAAAGAAAATATATAATTGTAAAACTGGAGCATATTGCACTATGACAACCGGGGCATTTTGTAAATTTCTAATTACACTACGCCCCAGGATAAACATGGCCGACATGAAAGGTTTATGACTAACATGGCCGACATGAAAGGTTTATGACTATGTGTAACACGTAAAATTATAAGTTATCTATCACTGTTTCCATATTCCTAAATGTAATTTTGATACAAAAAGTAGGTCACTATATTCAATAATTTGTACAGTACTCACCGCAATATGTCTCAAGGTCGTATTTGAAGATTTGACTATGATTTAGAATTAAATGCAAAAATAACACTCTCACGGCAGTCAAGTCGGAGAGGTATGTACTATTTTCGTTAGATACGCGTCGCAACCTGTTGTCTATTTCTGTCTGTTTGAGCGACAGCGTTGTGGGACATATTGCCCGCTGGGACATATTGTAGAGGTTTAGGCTAGACAAAAAATATTTATTTCAAAGATGAATTCGCCGGCTTAAGATCGCTTATAAAATCACATACAAGGATTATCTTCAAACAGTACAACACTCAAAGCAACAGGTAACCGTTTCATATCATTGCTACATTTCTCTCTTTGGAATTTGGAATATCCAGTAACTCCAGCAAATTCTGGTCTTCCGTTAATAGAAAAGAAACTGCACTGGTAAGGATATGCTCTTCAATGGCCATGCGTTGAATACACCTAATGATATAGTAGGAGCATTTGCGGAACACTTTAGTGGGAGCTCCTACAGAAAATAAAGGCAAAAATTACTACGGGGCCTGACCAAATACCATTTTACCATATCCACTCATGATCATTTTCAGTCTCTCTCTGGAAAACAATAATTGTCAATCTATTTGGAAGTTTTCTAGGGTAACTCCTGTTTTTAAAAAATTATGTAGAAAGCTATCGGGCTATCACGATTATCGGTGATTTTGCTGAAACATTCGAAATAATTATACAAACTATACTATATTTCCTTATAAGCAGGCCCATCTTCGTCAGTCAAGACGGTTTCATGAAGAGCAGGTCTATTGGTAGTAACTTGCTACATCTTACTCAGTATGTTTGTAAATCAA